ACTGTTTTTTAGCTTGCTGAGTATGCGAGGTTAGGAGTTCCAACAAATATCGAAAAGCGGGCTTATTTACCCTATAATACTTCTGAAACCTGTAAAAGCAGGAATTATTTAAAATATACAAAACATGTGTGCTGGTATTTACAGTGAATGCGCCAACTCAAGTGGATTCGTACTATCGCGCAGCCTCCTTCTTATACACCTCTGCTGAGTTTCCTGAAGCTCCGATTCGGCATATGTCTCCTCTACTACCATCCGAAAGGAAAACATATGCATTTTTTTTAATGTTTTCTTTAAAAACTATTAAATTCAACAAAAAGTTTAAACTTTTGAATTTCCTCAATTCACACAGAAATGTCAAAATGAATTGTCATTTGACAAAGCAGCTAACTTCGAAAATTCGAAATTCTCTTTCCCTTTTCCTCTTCTCTCCGCTAGTTTAGAATAGGAGGATTTTATTCTCGAGAAAAGTAAAATCCGCGAGAAATGAAATCCTCGAGAATATTTAGAATGGGGCTAATTATTTGAATCCACAAAAATAACAATCGACACGTTCTCCGTCAACAAATTCGCAACTTAGAAAAACGGAACTACGATCGAAATAGGTATAATCGTAAATTTCGAAGATTGATCGAAACGAAACGGAACACAGAATACCAAAATTGCCAAACGGAGAAAATTTCGATTTGAATATAACGACATCTTCAAAACCATGGCAAAAATACCAACGCTTTCCAATACCTCTAACAAAACGACAATTGACACAGAGCTCTTCAATGGAATGGTAAATTCGAAAAAGAATGCGTGCAGCGAACAAATTCAACAATTATTTAATACTAAAATGGAAGAACTCAAAAGCAAAGAGTTGGAAATAATATTCACGGATGGTTCAATTAAAGAAATCACAACAAACGCAGATCTTTTCCACGAACGTACCGACTCAAAAAAGCAAGATTTTATATACATAAGATTTTTTTTACATAAACAAGATTTCATCGTCCATGTCAGCTGAAATAATTGCCTTTGAAAAGGCATCGCTTTTTCTACCATGCTTCAATACCAAAGAGCTGCCATATTGACAGATACCAAATCAGGAGCATTGGCGCTATCAGATGAAAAGACGAACAATAGCTTGATAATAAATTTAATAAATAAAATAAACAGAAGTAATATCATTACATTTGAAATGCACTATATCCCAAGTCATAGTGGAATTCATCAAAACTGCGTTGTGGACAGAGCTGCAAAACTTGCAATATGAAAGAAACTCCAGAACACATCATACTTAAATGTAATAAATACGACAACATTAGAGCGCAACATCCAAAATTAATAGCACATGCCTCTTTAGAAGAATTACATAAAATTCAAGATTCAAAAACATTCAATTGCAATTGCATACGAGATAATTGCCTACATCAAAACATTTAATTAATCTTAATTGTAATGCCAATTAACAATTAACTAACAATTTATTAATTGTTAATTGCTCCCATACAATTAACAATTGGTTAATTATAATTGTAGAGAAAAACAATTAACAATTAATTAATTGTTAATTGTAGAGGTAGCAATCAACAATTAAATAATTGTTAATTGTGATTTTCTGAAGATAACAATTAATTATTTTTTAATTGTTTTGTGAATTTTATTAAACATTTACGTTTAAAGATGCCCACTACATAGGCCTGAGAACATTGAGAATCTTGAATAAGATTGATGCAGTGATGGACAAAATTGTATTTACTAAGTACGTAAGTATTTAGGTATTTGTGTTGTGGTAAATACCAAAGTACTATTGGCTTAAGTATTTTGGATGTTACTAAATACCAAGTATGCTAGTATTTCCTTTTTTTCACAGGTCTAAATACTTTGTCTAAAAGTATTAAGTTATTCACCTAAAGAAGCACCGCGTACAGAAGTATTTTGGGACTTTGACTTCACTATCTACCGCGTACCAAAGTATTTAGTAACTTTGCCTTCACTAAATACCTCGAACAAAAGTATTTAGAGACTTTGTCTTTACTAAATACTGGATACAAAACCACTAAGCACTTATGTATGTCTTGATTAAATACTTCCATTAACTCAGTGTAAAAATAAAAAAAATTCGGAATTTTCGAGACTTTCGGAACTATCTCGGGATTCTCAGTATTAGATAATATCGAGACTTTTTGGATATTCGGCACTATTTCGAGACTCTCGGGACTATTCCGGTATTTTCGAAACTTCTTCGGAGTTTTTGGGACTTTTCGGGTTCTCGGGACTCATATCGGGATTTTTGGGTCTTTAGGGATTATTTCGGGAATTTGGAGACTACTTTGGACTTTTTAGGGACTTTCGGGATCTCCTTGAGTTTTCGAGATTCTCGGGACTCATATGGGGATTTTCGCGTTTTTAGGAACTATTTCGGTCTTTTTGGTTGTTTGTGTTTCCGGGTAGGGTAGGAGTATGATGTATTTATTATTTCGGATTTTCAAGAATACTTTGGACTTTTTAGGGACTCTTGGATTCTCGTGACACTTTCGGAAATATCGGGACTAATATCGGGATTTTTGGACTTAAAGAACTATTTCGGAAATTTCGAGTACTTCGGCGTTTTCGGGATTCTCGGAACTAATATCGAGATTTGTGGGACTTGAGGCACCCTTAAAGTAGCCCCGAAAGTCTCATAAACCTTGACATAAGTCCCGATAATCCCGAAGTAGTCTCGAATACCTCGAAATAGTGCCGAAAGTTCCAATACATCCCAAAATAGGTCCGAAAGTCTTAAAAATTCCGATATGAATGCCGAGAATCCCGAAGATGTCTCGAAAATCCAAAATTTCCACAAAAGTCGGAAGATCCCTACATATATTAGTGACGAGAATCAATAATACTCCGACGTAGTGTCGAAAATCCCGAAATATACCTTAAAGTCCCAAAAATCCCAATATTAGTCCCGAGAATCATTAAAAGTCCCGATAATTACAAAATGGTTTCGAGAATCCCGAATGGGTCTTGAACATCCTGATTTAGTCCGGAGAATTTATAAAATTCCGAAATAGTTCCCAAATTAAGAAGTGGTGAGTTTAGGTGAGGTGTGATGAGTTAAGGTAGTGGTAAAGTAAGTTGAGGTGAGGAGTTAATTCATGATAGTGCTGGAAGGCAAACCCCCAGCACTCGGTGGTACTGTTTCTTATGTCCATTATTTTCTTATATACCTAAACCATTCTTTTATATAAAAAATACTGTCAGCCTCATTGCGTAAGTCGTAAATTAGGCTAAATTGTACGACTCGACAACAGTAGCATTGTCTATTGTCGTAATGAAATAAGTAAATGACCAAAATCGTCGAAAACTATACAGAGCTCCCAAGTTTTTCCATTTTAATACACTAGTCGAGTGGAAATTTTAGGCAATGAGTGGAATTTTCGATACGATTCGATTCTCGAAAAACGACTTACATTCGACACGACTCTCGCAATGAGAGTGTGTATGTAGAATTTCGGTATTTTTTATTAGGTAAATTGTTATTTTTAATTGTTTCATAGAACAATTAAAAAAAGTAATTGCAATTATATTAATTGCAATGCGCAATTACAAATTTAATTGCAATTAAAATTTTAATTGCAAATAATTTAATTGCAATGCACAACTAAAAGCTTTATTTAATTGCAATTACTTTTTTAATCAATTAACGAGATAATTGAAAAATTAATTGAATTACGCCCAACACTGAAATCAACCCATAAAAAAACTTCCAAATAATCGGTGGTGGCACTGTAATTCATGGAATCGGCCAAATAAATCTCTTCAACCGTGACATCAGCGCTATTCGGAAGGTAGACAAATCCAAAAAACATATATCATAAAAATCGGTCCAGCCGTTCTTGAGTTATAAATGGTGTAAACCTCACTTGGGCGGACACTCACCGTCAGTCATTTTTTGTCCGCCCAAGAGAGGTGTCCGCTCAATGGAAGGAAAGCTTATTTTAGAACTTTTTAATGTTTTAAATAATTGAATAGTCACTATTTCTTATTTGAATAAAAGATATTGATATTACATCGTTCAAACAAAAATTTGCATGTATTTTTTCAAAAGTGCATATTTCATTTATGTGCGGAAGTACATGTTAAGTAATAACAAAATAAAAATAAAGATGACATTTCAATGTATAAACTACATAAAACCATGGATTTATTACATAAAAAACTGGGAAATTGTCGATTGACGTAAGTTTTATTTTTAATTTTTTTCAGTGTCAGTACCTTTTTCATCAAGAGTTTTCATGTTGCTATCAGTAACAAAATCCAACCAGAAATCTAAATTTTCGGTCCATGTATTTATTATTATCTATTGTTATAAATTCATCAGAATTGGAATTGGATTCGCCAAGGGTTTCTGATAATTCCAATAACGAACCTAAACCACTGCGCAAACCAAACTAAATGTGTGCATTAAAGTCACATTTTATGCTGGAAGTCCATCTTTTCCATTTAGTAGTCCGCCTATGAGGAGTTCGCGTCCGCTCAACGGAGGATTTTGTTTGATTTCCCATGAAAATAAATCTGAATGTCCGTTGATAAGAGGTTCGCGTCCGCTCAATAGAGGTTTTTGTGTCAATTTTATGCAAAATAACAGTCCGCGTCCGGCCAAGAGTGTCCGCTTAAGAGAGAGTAATTTGTTCCGAAATTTATCCTTAAAACTTGGTATAGGAAAAAATGTCCGCCCAAGGGAGATGTCCGTCTAATAGTGTCCGTGAGGTTTCACTGTATATATAAAAACTAAGATGTTTTAAAGAAGTTGTTGTTGTTGTTGTTGTTGTAGCAGCATACAAATTCCCCAAAGACTTTTTGGGGAGTGTTGCTGGAGTGACAGTCCTTGGCCAGATATAAATCTGGTTCGTTCCGGTTACGTAGACCCGACTGTCGTGGGAACAAGTTGTCCTTGAAACTGGTGCTGGATGTTATTTTTAATACTTTCCTGTTTAATTGATTCCCCGAATCAAAAAAATAAACAATTGTTGAATTTCCACATAACAAAACTTGGAAATACCTTTCACTTATTATTATTGCTCTAAAGCGGGACAACCACGCTTTGACTTTTAGATAATGTAAAAACAAACAAGTAACCGTATATTATTTAATGCTAATTAAAACCAAGTAGAAATTTCGTTTACTGCGCCAAAGATGGCAAGTTGAGAAGAGTATTCTGTCCTCCAGGCAAGTAGGCGACGCCTCGGGATCTAGAAAGTTGGTAGGCAATATCTTCAGCTGCTTCGATACGACGCAGCTCTACCAAACCATCACCAGCTTCTCCAAATGCTTTAGCCAAAAGACCTGCAGCAGAGGCATCTCCTTCAGCGGAAATTATGGAAGCCAATTTCTGTTGTTCAGCTTTTTCTACCACAAAACGTGCTTTCTCTGCTTCTTGTTGTGCAACTTGTTTCATTTCGACAGCCAGAGTGAATTCCCGGCCAAAGGTCAAGTGTGTGAGAGAAATGTCATCAAGTATAAAGCCAAACTGTTTTGCGCGTTCAGTTAATTCTTCTGATACACGTTGGGACACCATCTGCAAGTACATACAACTTCTAATTATCTACGAAACGTATCAATGGGCAGCTATCTTACCTCACGCTGGGTAATCAATTCACCGGCATCGAACTGTGCAACCACAGCTTTGAGAACTTCAGGTGCAATGGATGGTAAAACCCTTTCATCATAATCTTGGCCAAGAATTGTATAAATTTTCGGCAATTGGTCCGGAATCGGACGATAGAGAATACGCAATGTAATGTTGACATTCTGCAAATCTTTACTGCCAGTTATGACGGGGACATTTCTTGGCTGGGATCGGATGTCATATATGATGGGCCGTTGTACCCATGGAATGAAGAAATGTGTACCCTCGCCAACTACCTCTTGTTGAACACCTGTGAAGCGATCAAAGATGACAGCCCGGTGACCACCGTCAACATTATATAATGCCGAATTCACCACTCCTCCAAGGACAGCGACACCAAGACCCAACTGTCCGATACGGTTGAAAAACTGTGCAGCCATTTAATCAGTGTATTTCACCTGTGAATATGTACATTTTATGGTCTCAATACAATAAAACCATTTTCGGTAATTTCACAATTTTCTAGGTTATGTCAAGTTCGCTTATCTGCCTTACTACGCATTAAAAGCTCAAAAATTCTTTAAGTCGTTGCTTAGTCTTGTATTATTGTGTTTTTACCTAAAAAGCAATGCAATTAATTACCTTTGATAAAATGTATAATAAAATTCGAGTCGAACTTGCAGGAAAATATTCACACGAGATGAGAGAAGTTGTTTGGAATGTAGTACAATAGTCCAGAAGTCGACTTTTCAATCGATATCTTTGGTCCCTGCACTACAATTTATACCAATTCCCAATAAACATTTAGGTTTGAGCTCAACTTGAGGTTAACCGCCCTATTCCCACAACAGTGACAAAATTCATCATATGACTATTATCACAATTACTGCGCCTAAAACACAATATAAACATTGTTTCGCCGTTGTCACTTACTCAGGGCCTGTGCCAATTGATAGAAAAGTTCTCTGGATAGTAAATTTTTGACAGCTATGAGGTGAATAAAAATGTTTGATACGGCAGGGCTAGTGAAAAATTTGACAGCAAGCATTATCAAGAAGAAGAACGAACAACGCACGTATACACATAAATTAAAGAAAACAAAAGCGAGTGGAAATAAAAGAACATGGTCCCGCCGGCAAAAAAAATATAGAAAAGCTATATAACTTGTAAGATTTAATTTCAGATTTACATATGAAAAGGCGTTATGTATTTGTTTAATTAAAAATACTATTTTACAGGGAGCAGTTCAGAATGCAGAATCCTTCTGGAAAAGCGCATTGACAAGGATGTTTGGTTCAGTTCAAAGAACGCCAACAGCAACGAAGGGTGGAAGTGAGTAAGAATATAAATAATTTGAAGACTTTATTAAGCAAGTGACTTCGTACTCCACTGACCATCCGTGGCGCTTTTTGGGAATGTGAGTTACAATTTTTCGAAACGAAGCAGAGGACAACCTAAGATACATTTTTGTAGTCTTGTTATCGCCGTTCATAATGCTGCTTAGTATTTTGGAATAAACGTCTTGTTGCATGTACATAATACCCTAAAACGACATATGTTTTTATTGGAAACAATTGTACACGGTTTTAAACATTTTTGTGAACACACTTACCAGACGGTTTTGACTTGTTTTTACAAGCTTTTATTTAACTTCACTTGTATGTATGTATGTATGTATGTATGTATGTATGTCCTGGAACTTTGCAGTCAATATTTAACAAACTTCCCGATGAGCTACAGACTTGAAACTTCAAACTTAGCTCAGAACTCGAGGACAATACAATTTAAAAGATGTTTTAATCCGCTAGGTGGCGCAGGAGTCGAGATATTTGTAAAACCCGCATTTATGGTCTGATTTGGTTCGTATTTAGAACATTTATTACGTATATGAAAAGAAATTAATCCGAAAAAAATTTTGCCGATAGGTGGCGCAGGAGTCGAGATATTTGGAAAACCCGTATTTATGATCC